ACTGCCACGACTTCTCAAATATGATGGATATCGGCTTAGCCACTTCATCTGCCAATTCCCTTAGGACCCACAGATGCATCTCATCAGGTCCCATGGACTTGTGCACCTTCATGTTCCTTAGATAGTCTTGAACCTGATCTTCTCCTACAGTGGGTGGCTCTTCAATCTGCCAGTCCCTGCCTTTGCCTTCTGTGACTTGGTCGGTGTGGCTGGAGCACTGGCTGGAGCACAGTGAAGACTGAGGCAAAAAAGTCACTGAGTCCCTCAGCCTTCTCCATATCCCAGGTAACTAGGTCTCCTGTTTCCTTCAGGAGAGGGCCCACATTATCCCTAGTCTTCCTTTTATCACCAATCTTAACCTATAGAAGTTTTTCTTGTTGCCCTTGACGTCCATGGCCAGATTTAATTCTATCAGGGCTTTGGCTTTTCTAATGTCATCCCTGGCTGCTCAGACAGTTTCTCTGTGTTCCTCCCAGGTGACCTGTCCTTGCTTTCACTCTTTTGTAGACTTCCTTTTTTTTGTTTGAGTTTGTCCAGGAGCTCCTTGTTCATCCATGCAGGCCTCCTGGCATTTTTGCCTGACTTCCTTTTCATTGGGATGCATCACTCCTGAGCTTGGAGGAGGTGATCCTTGAATATTAACCAGCTTTCTTGGGCCCCTCTTCCCTCCAGGGCTGTATCCCATGGTACTCTACCAAGCAGGTCCCTGAATAGGCCAAAGTCTGCTCTCCTGAAGACCAGGATATCGAGCTTGCTGTGCACTCTCCTCACTGCCCTAAGGACATTGAGCTCCACCATTTCATGATCACTGCAGCCAAGGCTGCCCTTGAGCTTCACATTCCCCACCAACCCCTCCTTGTTGGTGAGGATGAGGTCCAGCATAGCACCTTTCCTCGTTGGCTCCTCTATCACTTGGAGAAGAAAGTTATAATCAATGCATTCCTGGACTGCTTATGCCCTGCTGTATTGTCCCTCCAAGAGGTATCAGAGTGGTTGAAGTCCCCCATGAGGACCAGGGCTTGTGAATGCGAGGCTGCTCCTATCTGTCTATAGAGGGCCTCATCCTCTCACTCTTCTTTGTTGGGCGGCCTGTGCTGACCCCCACTATAATGTCTCCTGTCCCTGCCCTCCCTTTAATCCTGACCCATAAACTCTTGGTTGGCTCCTCATCCATCCCCAGGCACTGCTCCATGCGCTCCATACTTTTCACCTCACATAAGATAATACTGACAGTGTTGGCACCTGCTTCTGCCCTAGTTGTCTATGAGTTATTGTAAGGCAGGCATTGGAAACACAACGGAAGAATCAGGCTTTGGAAATGCTTATTTTTCTACATTGGCAAAAATGGACTGTCATGTGAAGTAGTGCAGATGTAGATGTACATGTCTGAAGGAAGGTGAGGGGAAGAGCACTGGGGGCTTAATCTGCTCCTCAGTGAAATCAGCTGGAAAGCAAAATCAACAGGAAGGCTCCTGCCATCTTCACTGGGGTTTCAGTCAAAGTGTGTCATATCAGTCAACCAGTTTAATCTCTACTCTGATTGACCATGTGACTGTCTGGATGCCACAAATGTTTTTCTGTTAGATGCCATTCACTTAACATTTTTCTAGGAGCAACAAGAACTATAGAAGATAGGTTTTAACCTAAAGAAAGGCTTCTGAGTTTGTTTTGTAACAATTCCCAGCATCCAGTGCTCTTACCTCCCCTTAGCTTTCTGCTTTATCCTGTGACTGAGGTGGGAGAAAAATAACATGTAGTGTACTTCCAGATTAATTTATTTGGGAAAAAAGGCAATTGACAGAGGAAGGTGCTGTTGAAGTGAATGAAAATACACTGCTCTGAAAGAATATTAAACTCCTCCTCTAAGACTAGAGCTAGTTTCCCCCCCTGCTGCTGTCCCCCAATGTCAGTTAAATGTAAGTCTGTCTAGAAAAAGGAAAGATAAATATCAGTAGCAGGTAGTTGTAATAGTAGAGAGATAGTAGTAGGTCATCAGTAGGTGTTAATTCTAATACTGACTTGTGCTCCTGATGAAAATGGAGTGATGTCACCACATTTGGATCATACTTTTTGCTATCTACCCTTGTCAGGAGAACCAAAGCTGAGTACGACATCAAAGGCAAAGGCATAGCTCCACTTAAATAATTTCTATATATATTTTTCAATATTATAATTGATCATATTTTTACAATGCCTAGGATTTTTTCTGATACAACTTGTTTATTGAGATGTTATTTTTCCTGCTTTGACAGTACCTTCCAAGTGTTTTGCAGAATAATCACAATTCACTCAGAAAACTACAGGCATAATTCATGTGATTCATGTTGTATCCTACATTTGTGAACCAGTCTCATCTGCCATTGAGCTGCTCAATTGCCTAGATTTCTAGGTCCTTCTGGGCTTTTTTAGTGTTCTCTAGGCTTGATTAACTGAAGTAATTTTCACCATCCTTTTGTCCTTTGTTTCTAGATCATTAATGTATTTAATACCAGCCCTAAGAGAGATCCTTTGGGCATGTGCTGCAGAGTTTTTATACTGTGAAAATTGAAGAGTTACTACTACGTCCTATTTTCTCTTTCCCAGCTGCTTTCTAATCCGCTGCAGCCTTTCCCCTCTCCACCCCACTAGTTTTCTTAATAGCCTCTTATGACAGACCTTTGTAAAGAACTATTTCAAAGGCCAGATAAATTACATACTCTGTTTTCTTCCTTGCCCACCGTTTTGTTTGCGTGTTCAAATAATTACATGGGATTGAAAGGCATCATTTTCCTTTACATGAAGATTGTCCCTATCTTAAAAGCTTAATCTGTAAGTATTTTATATCTTAGACATGGTTTATTGATTCAACAGGCTCTCCTGACAACAAAATAAGGTTTCAGGAGATCATCTACCACTAATTCCTAGAAACTATTGTGCAACATTTGCTGTCTTCCTTTTTTTTTTTTTTTTTTTTTTTTTTTTTTTTTACACAGAGGGTATTTTAAAGAGACATGGTATTTCTGTTAGCATTTGTGACACTTAAAGAGCAGCTGGAGCCCTTCTGAAAATGCTGGCCTTGCTGTCTGACCCTGGGAATGAATATTGCCTGTCAGAAGAGCATAGCCTCCTTCAAGCAGCCAGTCTGCTCTCGCAGAGCGTGACCCTGGTCCGGCAGATTCCCACTGCAGGAAATGGGAGTTATACAGTCTACTGAGATTAAACTTGGCTTCTGTCAAATGGTATGATGGGAAAATGAGACTTTTTATTTTCTTCCCACGGCTACGCAGAGCCAACTGACTTGGGTCTAGACAGAACCTGAGACAGATCAGAACTGAAGTGCAGAGTAGGAAAAATATCTTTAGATGTGAAAATGCAGTTGGTAGAGGGTTTTGATCCTTCAGCAGAGCATTGCTCTTTCACAAAGATCACCTTTTGCAGAGCAAGGAGGAATACTAGTTCTGTATATTCATGTGCTCTTTGAAAGTGCCTTTTTGTTTTAAGAAGACAACAGTTTCTATTACCCATACTAAAACTAGACCAGTTTCAGCAGAATTTACCTGTGCCGGATCAAGTCTAATCCTTGGTTCTTCAGAGCTTTGAGAGACACTTAGAAAGGTGTCTGAGGGGTTGTTTTACATAAGGTGTTGAGGCTGGGAAAAATGTTTCATGTAAGCCCCCTCAGCACAGGTCAAACAACATAACTTAAATATGGTGATTACTTGAAGATAATGATTGAATCGCACTTGTAAACCAACCTGGAGTGCAAAATCTCAGTAGGCGCTCCTCCAATGTAGATGTCTGTGAACGGCATTGCTGTTCGTTCATTGTCCACACTTTTTATATGTCGCCTGTCTACTACCAAGATCATCTTCTTAGAATTGTGATATATAATAGAAATCTGAAAAGAAAAACATGTGCTTAAAAGTATCTGGAATGTCATCTTTTGTCAGTTGTCATGATGATTTTGCAAAATTGATTGCATCTTTATATCTTTTTGTTTGAAAAGTTCCTCCCATTTATCAAAAAAGTTGTTTGTAAATTGGGAAGGGCTGACAACAATTACTAGTAGTGAGCTTATTTTGATGTCACAATTTCCCTGATGACTGAAAACCCAAGATATTTCACTTATGAATAAATCCACATGACAGTACCCCATGTCAGATTCTACACTGCGGCAAACAGATAACCTCCATTAATTTCAGACTGCTTTCTTTATTTATTCACAGAATCACAGAATCACAGAATGTTAGGGGTTTGGAAGGGACCTCAAAAGATCATCTAGTCCAACCCCCCTGCCAGAGCAGGACCACCTAGAGTAGATCACACAGGAACGCGTCCAGGCGGGTTTTGAATGTCTCCAGAGAAGGAGACTCCACAATGTCTCTGGGCAGCCTGTTCTGGTGCTCTGTTACCCTCACAGTGAAAAAGTTTTTCCTTATGTTAATATGGAACCTCCTATGCTCCAGCTTGCATCCGTTGCCCCTTGTCCTGTCATTGGCCATCAGTGGGAAAAGCCCAGCTCCATCTTCCTGACACTCGCCCTTTACATATTTATAAACATTGATGAGGTCACCCCTCAGTCTCCTCTTCTCCAAGCTAAAGAGACCCAGCTCCCTCAGCCTTTCATCATAAGGGAGATGTTGCACCCCCTTAATCGTCTTTGTGGCTCTGCGCTGGACTCTTTCAAGCAGTTCCCTGTCCTTCTTGAAGTGAGGGGCCCAGAACTGGACATACTATTAAAGAAGTTAGGGCATACTTCTTAAAAAACTTATTTCATTGTCAAAGCATAAAGGCTTAATTGGGCTCTGCTTAAACATGTTGAACAGAACTGTAGCTGTAGTTGTGGATCAGGAACCAGACTTTGAATTTACATCAAGTAAATGGCAGGAGAAGCAAGCCAGTAATGGGGATTTGCTACTGTCACTGTCACAGTTACACTGACTTTAAGCAAATTCTCTTAAACCAAATACAAGTAGATATTTTAGATCTGCCAAAGTCCCTAAAATACTATGCATACATAAAATACTGCTACCAAATTGATTCTCTCTTCAAATGAAATGGGAAATGCAAAATGCAATGTTTTTTCTAATACAAAGCATAACATCTAAGGTGGTCAAGTTAACATAATGACATGTTTTTAGTTGAGGAGAGTTGTATGTTTGAAGGATATTGTTGTCCTGGATATAATTTAATTTTGAATTAATAATACTTTTTCTCCCATGTGAACTGTCCTGTCTTTGGCTAGTAATACGCAGAATCTGTCCACAAGCCCTGATTTACCAGGAGGCAGAGAGAGTCTTCCCTTTCCTCCACTCAGTAGTGGTGGGAGTTACATGTGCTCTTTCACATGCAAGGCAGACATGTGCTCTACTCTTCTGCCTGCTCTACTGCATCACCACCTGGCCCCTCATCATTTTTCTCCTTTCACTGGTGTTGGAGCAAATTATTGCTGCTTTGGAACTGCTGGGATGGTTGGTCTAATGGCTGTAATTGTAACCACATCTCTACCTCATGAAATTTAGCGTCGTTAATCTGAGCCTTCTTCATGGAGTCCTCTAGCAGCACAGGGCCAGTGCTGAAGCCGAAGTCATAGCGGAGGTACAAGAAACCATTGTGCATCTCTAGACTGAAGAACATACTCTATAAAACAAAACAGCAGTCAGAAAAGCACTATGATTGTGGCAGCAATTTAAAAAAATTCGTCAGCAGTGTTATGAGAGTGTCTGACATTTTGAAAAGCATGCTGGGAAAAGGTCTTTTCATTTGCAAAATTATAACAGTTTCTGGATTATTTTTTATATATATATAAACGTGAAGATATACACATGCACACATGATTGTTTGCTAAACAGCACTTATTTGAAGACTTGGTGAACTGTTTCCCTGTAGGAATAGTATTTGGTAGAACAGTAATGTCAATATTCTTTACCAGCAAAGTATTCCCAGTGCAAACGCATCTGTTTACTGTCAAAGTAATACTACATGCCCCAAATGAAAGAAGTTTTACTGGTAAAAGCAATGTTGTGTTAGAACGGCTGTATCTGCATTAGCAGCTTCTGTGATGATGCCTGTAATAGTTCAGGATTGTATCTTTTGACAGCTCTGATCAGCACTGATGTATTTACTGAAGGCTGAGCAATAGCTAGAGTGCATTTACTGTGTATTTGGTTTCTGGATTTCTTATCATAGAATGATTTGGGTTGGAAGGGACCTCAAATATCATTTAGTTCCAACCCCACTGCCCTGGCAGGGACACCTCCCACTAGATCAGGTTGCTCAAGGCTCCATCCAGCCTGGTCTTGACCACTTCCAGGGATGGAGCATCTATTACTTCCTTAGGCAACCTGTTCCAGTGTCCCTCAGGGTGAAGAACATCTTCCTTGTACCTAGTCTAAACCTGCCCTCTCCCAGCTTCCAACCATTACCCCTTGTGCTATCACTGCAGGCCCTTGTAAAAAGTCCCTCCCCAAAGTCCCTTTCTGACTATTTATGCTTCATGGTTTGGCTTCTGTTCTATGGCTGGGTGACCTAAGCTTTATAAACAGAGCTCTAGTTTAGAAAATCTTTAGGGAGTGCTTGAAATGAAGATCTGCGCCATAGAATTAGTCTTGTTCCAAAACTGAACATAAAGAAGTAGAAAGGGCAGTTTACAGCAACTCTGCATCTGGGTCAATGCTTTTAATGCTAATGTTTATCTTCTCCTGGTATTCATGCTGTTGTTCCCATGCCTAATGGAAACATGGGAACAATAATTTTCAAAAAACTACTGCAGGCTAAGAACTGCTGTCTCTGACACAAATGAGTCCACATTCAGAAGTAATTACTTAAAGAAGTAAAAGTTAAGTTTTCATTTAAATGAAACTGGATTTGTTTTGAACACCTTAAACTTGAAAATGAAACAGGGATTACTTTCAGAATATTTATGAGCTGTCTTTGCAGAACTGAATAGTGGACCGGCTTACACACTGTTTCTAAAAGTGCCTGTGAGTTGGCATGGTCTTCCAAAGCTAACATCCAACTTGATTGCCGTTTGCACTGTAACACACAAAGTGCATACATCTCTGACAAATCTCTGGGCACTTTTGCTTGGAAGAAGAATGACTGATCTGCAATAGAGGCTGTTAAACTTTTAACTGCAGTTGCTTAGTCCAAAACCTCCTAAGAGCAAAGGTTAGTGGTAGCATGCTATGGTGCAGAGCAAATTGCTCACCACAGCCCTGCTCTGGAAGTTACCCTAAAGGCAAACGCTAGAGAGTAGTTCTTCTGATTCTCTTCTAAATACTTAATGTGGTGGTACATGTAGGTGTCTAGACAACTGTATGTCTGTGGAATGCATCTACATAGTAAAATGTGTTCTGTGGCTTTACCAAGTTGTAATCCACACAGAACTTGGGACCTTGATGTGGAGATGCTCAATGACAAAAAAATCTGAGTTTGTCTTCAGAGGATATTTGCGTGTGGAGTCTACTTTCATCAAACCCTTACAGGGTTTGCATCACCCTCAAACTTCTGAAAAGCTGATGATATTTGTATCAAGCCTTTATATTTGGACTGCTTTCTATTTTCAGCAACTTAAATAGTTAACTCTAGTACACTCTGAGACACAGTTATAAAGTGGCAGGTACCACAAAGTGGCTACTTTATGGGAGTTACTTCACGGAAATTTCCTGTCACTTTGATTGTACATTCACATTTAAATAAAGATGCAACTATTGCGCTTAACTGGAGTCTCTCTCAAAGTGTCATCACAAGTCTGAAGTCCTGTCTGTCTCTGGATGAGATCGGAGTCTAGCTCAGGACCTCTGCTTTCTGGGGCCTTTGCAGAGCAAGTTCTAGTTCCCTCCTAATGTATACATGCACCAGACAAACACAAACTATTTCCTCTTTCCAGAAGTTAAATGTAAGCACATAAGCATTTTTGATTTTCCATAATATTCTAAGTACTGGGGAACTTGCGGTGCTTATGGATAAAGGGTACCAGCAGGATTTGGTACTCACCCCATTAATCATCAGCAGGATCAATCCGTTGTCTGTAGGCGTTCGAACTTCTATGTCAAACCGAGTCACCTGGCTGAACCTTCCCCTTCTCTCAATGTTTCTTGCCAAGGCATAGCCAGAGCCATCAAAGAAATAGCTCACAGCCCGGCTCTGAGTGAAAGCCAACTTATTTCTATGAAAAAACAAGCAGGGAAGTAATATTTGGCATATCCCTGTTTTAATTTGGGGAAATTTAAAGGCCTTTGCAATTAAAATACTTTCTTGAAATAATTATTCTGAACTGCTGCTTCTTCCTGGCAGCAGTGAGATTGATGACTTTCTTTTAGATTCTTTTTGGGAATTTTTTCTGAAAAATAATGTGTAGCGTTGAAAGTGTGTCTAACTCATCATTACTTCGTGCTTTTATCCTGTGTTGTATGTAGAGGGCAGGAAAATTCTTTGCTCACAACACCTCCGCATTATAAGGATACACATATATTTCTATTAGAGCTTGCCCGGTTTGTGCAGAAACCCATTTGAATTCTCTGAGGCCTTTAGTCAGGCATGGGCTGTGCTGGGGAGCCCGGGATCAGGCCATAGGCACTGTCCGGGAGAGCAGCAGCTTGCACTCCCTATGGGAATGGCATAGGAAGCAATAATTTGCTCTGTCTCAACCCCTCCTGCATTTATTCCCAGTGAGAGCTGCAAGTTTCTCTCTTGTTCTTTGCATGGATTCTACTGTTGCTGCCTGTTGTATGAACAAAATGCCTACTAATGTTTGTGCTAAATGAACGCTGCTGTTGATGTTCACTTCTACTTTAGGGGCTGCATTTCCCAGTTTGTGACTGGCTTATCTGGGAAATTTCTGTTGTGGGTTTAAGAGCGCGTGGCAGAAAGATAACTTCTATACTGGCTTTTCTAGCTGGGGGTGGGACTGCGCTCAGGTTTACCAGGCCCACTGGAGCTAACTGGCTGTGGTGATATTTCTTGCAGTGACAGGATTCGAGTCAGAAGCAGTCCTGTCCTAGGCAAGCAGCGGGGGTAAGGAGGGAGCCTGAACTATGCCACAGCTAACACAGTAGTTCCCTTTCAAAGGCATCAGCAAGGCTGTGAGAAAGTAAATGGGGACAGCAATAAATCATAGAATATCTCGAGTTGGAAAGGAACCCATAAGGATCCAACTCCCATATGTATGCAAGTTCAACTTGTTGACACAACTAGGAGTTAAAAGTGGCCAAGTTCCTTCCGGACAACAGGATCTAACATTAACTAAACCAGGAATGAACCACCAGGGCCGGCACTTACAACAAACCAGAGCAGCAGAGTGACGGCGGGACTGTCCCCTACCTGGCACAAGGTGGCGATGTGGTGGTGTCGATGTTATAGACGTGCTTGAAGTTGTATAGGCTGATCACATCATCGTTCAGGGTAGCCAGTTCCAGGCAGCCGATGAAGCCAGGCAGGTTTAAGCTCGAAGGCAGCTGTGCAGAGGGCAAGGAGAAGTAAAAGGGGAAAGGTCACACTCGTTATTTGGGTATCATGAAAGCATTTGTGTCTGGGGTCAGTTTTGCCTTTGTGCTTTTCGTATTTTGAAACAAATGGGTTGATGCTACCTTGGAATAGTCTTTGCAGTCCTTATCATGATATGGCCATTGTGCTGTAAGTTAAAAAGGAGCACATAAAGGGTCTCACAGTGAGAACAGTAGGCTAGGTAAGGCAACTGCAACCAAAAACTTCTTTTGTTGTTTTGAAGGGAGCACACGTGGAAAAGGGGAAAAGGGTTAAGATTTAACTAATCAAACAGCTTGCTCAGTGTATTTGAATCTCTGAGCAGATATTTCATATCTAACGTATAGACATCCTTCACTGCCAGAAAAATAGCTTTGATGAAAGAGAGAGAAATCAGAGAGCTCTTTAAACCCAGGAGACTAAGTCTGTGCCTGTGGCTAATCCTCACTAGGTATTATTTTGAACAGTTAGCTGGATATATAAACTCCTTCTTTTAACAAAGGTCACTGCAAGTGGCATTTGAATAGCCACATTGGTGAGGGGAAAAATACAAAAGAATAAGGCTGAAAGAGCTAGTGAATAATTTTTTTAATATTAAAATACTCTGCCCTGTGGAACAGGTGTGATATTAATAACACCTCATGTACTTCAGAGTCTGATCGCTGCCAGTAACTTTTCTTTGGCTTCTCATTATTTCCATTTGGCTTACAATATAATAATAATGGTAATACATCAATGCAGAATATGTGTAGCTGTAAGAAAAAATGAGATTCTTGTCTGCAGCACAGATACATTTGGTAAATGATCATGTTTCCTTTGTTTCTTCTACTATTCTGTGAAATTATGTTGAGAATTGTAATGGTTAAGTGATACATTTCGTATCTACCAAGTGTGTAACAGGGAAGAAAAGGCAAAAGCTTTTAGCAAATAGGACTATATGTTAATAATTGAGAATGTGAGGTGCCATTCCTAAGGGAGAAGAGACCTATATGCTTATCGAATAATTCCATAAATCCTTTTCTTCCCATTCCCCTTCCCATTTTCCTTCACTTTTCTCTTTTCCCTTTCCTCTGCCCTGCTCTGGAACAGACCTGGAGGGTTCATTTGCTGGATTAAGTTTTTTTTTTGGTGTGTGTGCAACTATTATTCAGTCCTCAGTCCTATTCCCAGTCAACTTGCACCCAGGGCTCAGTAATCTAAAATTCCAGCAATGGCATATATCTGGCAGTCACAGGAATGCAAAAGCTCAGGAATACATAAATATATTGTGTTAGTATTTGTTTTTATATTGTAAGGAGGGCTGCTTGTGGGACAGTAGTTGGATATTTTTAGCACTTACTACAGTTAGCTTAAAGAATTTAGCTTTCTCTTAAGTCTTTCTAAGGGTGTTTTCATTCAGCTGTGCAATTTTCATAGCCAAGGTCATTCATAACAATTTTTAAATCCGAAAAGAGGACCTAGTATGTTCACAGAAGCAGGTAAGTGAGGTGCTAATTTATGACTGACTACTAGGAACTAGACTGAAGCAATTGTCTCATGCAGGTCTTTGGACATGTTTTGCGTGGGCAAGTCTTCATGCTGTTGTAAGGCTGGATTTAAACCAATGATAATTTAAATTCAAAAAAATCACTACATTTCTAGTTTCCCACACTGTCCTAATATTAACAACACATTACTTTTCATTTTTGTGACAGTTGTAGAGGAGAAACTGTAAGCACTAAGAACTCATTTGCATTGAAAAAAACTGGTAGCCTACAAACTTTGTTAAGCTGGGGTAACAGGCCTTAATTTGTGCATCCTACTTAACAGCTAACAAGCTTTTTCCTTCTTATTTCATTTCAGAAAACTTGAATGACAGTTAACAGGAATCTGATCATCTTACTGTATGACATGATATGCTCGAGGAAACAGTAGTTTTCGCCATGGCTAGAAGATGGAGTCCTATGATGATAAATGACTAAATAAGGACATTTTATTTATTAACCATTTCTGTGTTTAAAGGGAAGCCCAGCAAGATAAGTTTGCATTATTTAATTTTGAATATAGAGTATTTATCTGACCAACCTTGAAGTCTGGAGGCACTCCGCCGACATAGAAAACAGCATTTTCAGGTTCCAAATTCAGGAGAGAGTCAGAACCAGGAACCTCTCCCTTTTTGATGAATTTTTCTTCAGCTGTGCTGCTAAGACCAGGCACAGTTAAAAACATTTTGCCATGTCTTCCAATCCTGTAGAAGGGAATTGTAAAAGAAGAGATTTTCTTGTTGGCTAGACTTAAAAGAACAAGCAAGCCTCCAGCTCCAAGAAGGGTTTTTATTTCCTCACTAGAAGACTGGCACTCTGAGGGAAAAGAAGGAGAGAAACTACAGACACTTTTTCTTCCCCCCTGTGGCCCCTTGGGTCCTGGCTCTCTAAATGCAAAGAGAATTTCCATTTGTTTCAACAGGAGTAGAACCAGGAACTGAAGACACCTGATGAGCAGTTCTGACCCAGCCTTTTCTATTTGTTTTTTTTTTTTTCTATTAACTGATTTTGGGGAAATGCACATTATCACTTTACCTCTCAATTTTGATGATGCTGAAGTAAGATGGCCAGGTGCTGACTGGCTTGGCATCCAGAGGTATCTCCACGTCTTGACCCCCCAGATTATAAATGTACACGAGATTGTCATTTTTAATTGCAAGTCCAATGTAATTTTTTGCCTAAAACACCAATGGAGAAGGATGTCAGAGCTACAGTGTTGAAAGAGATTTAACACAGAACGTAAAGGGTGGGCTTTGATAGACTAAATGACATCTTTAAATACAACTAATAAACAAAACCTCTATTCGCTAATTGCCTTCTTTCACCAGATAAAACTGTGCAGACAAAGTCTCTGATATTTTACTTTATATCCATTTGACTGAGGTAAATACAAGGTCATGAAATGTCTTCTGACCGTAAATCAGTCATGTTCAAGGGGAAGCTGTTCATCAGTATTTACTGTGCAGTGTCATATGCAGAAAATAGGAGGAAACATTTGTCTAAAGCCTAGGTATTATGCTGCAATTAAATATTCTGCCAAGAAGTGTTTAACTTCATTTATATTCAGTAGACTTTATTTTTAGAAAAGCTTAAAAAGAAAAGTCTGCCTCTTTGCCCTTTCCAAGTAACAGCTTGCCAGGATTACACCTGGCTTGTGGGGTGTGATTTTTTTCTTTTAGTAACCACAATTTAAAGAACAATTATTTCACAACACTTACAGGTGGTGAGAGTATATATACCCTTTCTAGGTGTTTCAAAGTAGTGATGTGCAGAGTGTACAATAGCAGCATGAGCCACAGGCAAAGAAACCTGCTTATATTGTGGGCTTGTGACCTCAGAGATTTGGAACTGACCCTGTCAGCAGCATAAACCTGATTAAAATGTGGCCTACAAAAACCAGGCAGGTGACATTAACTACTTCAGAGCACCTCAGTACTGGCAGTGGAGATAGCAAGTGTGGCTTGCAGCAGTGACAATGACAGCAGCATGCTGCATAGGCGGTTTAATTTTCTTCTTAGAGAGAAATCTTCATTGTTTGGGGTGAGAAGTTTCAAGGACAGGGGTCTTGGGGACAATTGCTCTTTGCTTGTCACAAAATCAATGACAGTAGACACCTCTTATTTTGAAACATGGAGAAGTAGTGAGAGGAAAAAACAAGGGCAAATAAACTTCAAACCGATTTCAATTTTATATCTATATATCTATCTATATATAAATTAACTGGGTTATTCTCTTACATTTTTGTTCCCAAGGTACAAAATAAATCTGTCTGGAGATGCTGCCAGTTGTGGGTTGTCTTTCTGAAGCTTTATGTACAAGCTCATGGAAGTGAAAGATTTCAGTTCTTCCACGTTGATCTTCGGATTGACTTCAACAGCTGATTGGCCTCCAAACATCATAGAAACTTGGACCTGCAGTTGCAAGTGTGCTAAGTGAGATACATTATTGCTGCCTGGGGACACTACTTAAGGTATATCTGCAAGAATACTTAGCCAGCAGCCTTGCTTACTGCAAGAGCAGAGTTGGCACTTATATATTGGCCATGCAAAATTGTATGTTTATAATAATCACTTCTGGAAGGTACTGTAAAGAAGATGAAGGGAATTAATTTTAAAATTAATTAAAGCTCCTAATTAACTGTGCTTAAGCATAATCATAAAGTAAATTAAATTTCAGTGGGACATAGATGTGTGCTTAGTTGAATCAGGGCTACATCATTATGTATGGCGCATAATGAAATTCTTACATAGCTATAAAATTTCTACCCATAATTTATTTCTTTGCTTTGGGAGTAGCATGACCAATTTTCTGTTCATGAGTAATCCTGTTACTTTACTGAAGTTACAGTGATATATATGGGATGCTGATAAAATTTTAAAACATGTTCATTTTAGTTCAAAATGCCTTCAACATCACTGAAATAATGTTTTCAAGTTTAAGAACAATATGCCTGAATGATGAAATACATTTAAAGAACAGTCAAGCACTGCACACATACTAACTGATTTTTCGTTTTCTTTTTTGAAGTAGTATATGTGAACAGGATATTCCAGCATTGTGAACATACAATAATGCACTGAATTTTTGATTTCTCTGAATGAATTCAAATATACTGGTTTAATTTTTGACATTGGTGTTCTTTTTACAGAAATATCCCTCATAATTTATGTATGATAAAAAGTGTTTTTCTCTTTTCAGTATGTGAGCCAAAGATTCTTTTACCCTGCAGAAAATTAATTCAAAAGAAAAAAAAAAAAGAAATACTGTAGTATCAGAGAAGTTTGCATTAAATTGCCATAATTACTGCTCCTTCTAACTAATGTTACCAGCTGAGTAATGACCTATTAGTTTTACCTTTAATTTTTTTTTTTTATTGTGATGATCCTTAACACGGTGCCAGTTACTTGATTAAAGTTGCTACTGCAGTAGCAGTAGTCTACCTTGAATACCATGGTAATGTTAGTTGCTTGCAAATAGTAACTCTAGAGGTTTTAATGACTTCCAGGGTATTTTGTTTATCCAGTTGTTGGGAGCGGCTAACATCAAGGTTTGGGCTTCTAACGTAGCCCAAGAAAATGGAGCTCCTAGTAAGATGCATTTGATTATTACCTCTAGTAATCAAAAGTCCCATACAAAAGTTACCTTGCTTGCTACACTCCTGGTTTGAGCAATTAACTCTCTGATCCGCTGAATGCTGGAAGAAATATTGTTTGCTGGTGCCTTCTGTTCTACTCTGCGCAGTTTGTCCAGGAGTTGAGGGAAGACTTCTGTAAGTTTCTTGACTGCAGTTAGAAAAGAAGTGACATCTTGTGTTTTTTCCTCTTCTTGACACTGGTTTTGCACCAGGAAAATTCTTCCTTACTCTCATACATTACCTCACCTAGACCTAACTGTGCTGTGTGAGAGGCAGTGATTTCAGAAAGGATAGTGATTTATCAGAATGTAGTATTGCAAAAGTTTTTGGAAAAAAATTTGCACAAAGGAGACTGCTTTTTTATGGGACTCCTAGGCACTACTGCAGTGTTATACCTCTGTAATACTTTTGTCAAGGAGCTTTGCAAATGTTGATCATTTTACCCTTTCCATATTCCTTCAAGGCAAATAAATATTAAACCAAATTTTACAGATACAGCAACTAGAGTAGAAGAATTCTTTGTTCACCATCTCATTGGATATCTGTGATTGACCTGGGAACTGCATCTAGGAGCTCTTCAAATTCATTTTAGGGGAGATGAATAGGTCGTTTCCCTCAGCTCTCAGGTGTGCATCTCTCCCAAAGGTTGTCACCCAGATAGTGGCAATGGCTATGCTGGTGATGTGTCTGCGTGTGTTTCACAACCCACTCTGCTAACAGAGACACCGCTGCATTCAGACTGCGATAACAGGCCTTTACTGTACAATGGTAGAAAGCCTTAGCTGATGCACGTGCAACTAAACTGTGCTCACTACCTGCCCCAGCCCTTGTGAGTTGTACCTCTTCAGCTTTCCTGCCTACATCTGCCAGTGGTCATGAATCAGAGTCCTAGACCTTCCGTCTTTCACTGCTGTGTGTTCTGGTACATGTGCGAGTAGGATTGTTATCAAAGCGGTTATCAAAGCAGGTGCTTTGTTGTGTTCAAAGGGAGAGAAGTCCTTTCTCCGAAAGATAAGCAGACAGAAAAATTAGCAAGAAAGAAAAATAACTACCCCTAATTATAATCCAATTTCATCACATCAGATTCCAATGACATGCTGCCCTTTGAAGGGTACTTACACATCACATCATTTTTCATCTTTAATTAGATGTAGGTACAACTAGCTGAGTATAATGAAGTGCGATTTTAGCCACAAGCTACATGCATATAAGAAAGATCCAGTATTCGTAGTTAATTTTTAATGACATGGATTCACCGTAAAAGGTTAAGATCAGATTTGTAGTGTTTGAAGTTATATTTTAGGGGTTGTCAACTTGCGCACTTGTGTTCTTCCCCTCATAATTTTGCTCTTGTCTGAGAAGATAGCAGAGAGACAGGTAGAGGAGCTAATCCTCAGATGTACTGAGCTGTGTAGAAAGGAAAGAAGGAAGAGTAGCCTTCAGTCACTTTTCTGTGCTTCCAGTTCCGTCTTGACTAAAGACTGAAGCAGCTCTCATCCTCATTCAGAGCAACCCAGGGTATGAGAAGATCCCATGGAGTCCTAGAATTCGTGCTTTTTTTGAAAGAGTGAAGAGCTATATTTGCCACAGTCCCGCTCTCTCTCTGGTTGACTCTTTTCACTTATGTTTCACTTTCCAAGTCCAGTGTAAGAGTGGGCCATATAGAGCTTTAGACTCTCCGGTTATTCCCATTAAGTCCTGAAAGACCTTATGTGCTGGGGGTCAGTAATCAGATATTCTATATAAAGTTTACGTTAAAATGCCATTATTTTAGCAAATTCTCAAACAACTACAATGAATTCTGTGTAACACATTAATTCCAGAATGCATTAAAATTTCTACTTAAAAAAATTAGTATAATAATCAACTTACAGAAAGTTTTCTCTGCCTTTTGAAATGAATGCTCTATTGCATTGGAAAAAATCCACATTATTCTTAAAGTAAAAAAATTGCAAGCTCAGAAAATGATTTAGCAAATTTCAGCCACCTTTTTTTTTTGGGTTTTTTTTTTTTTTAATTTAAATAATTGGCAACTGAATTGGAATTGTGTCTGATCTGGTATCTTGAAAAACTGGCTTTTCATCTGTTTGAAATTTGAGGTATTAAACTTCAAACACAACTGTAACATGAAAACACAAAACTAACATCTGTTACTACTAGTACTATTATAAAATCTCACCATTAATCTGTTCCTCTTATCCTGTATAATGGCATTTTTCAACACAGAAGAATATTGATTTTTGATTTTAGTCTTTGGGATGAAGGTAAGAGTGAGAAAGGAAAACTAGTCTTACCCAGTGGTAAAATACAAAAAATAATACAAGAGAAACTATCAAGGAGGAAATACCTCGACTACAATTTTCCAGACTTTCTCCTTTTGTGTTTTCCTTCCCAAATTGTCCTTCATCCTCTCTGCTGAAGCCCCCCAGTTCCCTGCACAATGGTGACACAGGGAGTATTCTCAGACAAACTGCACAGCCAAGACGTGCTCTCACCCTTCCAAAAATCAAGTGCAAGCTTTATTCAAAGGCAATCCAGACATGCCAGCTTAGAAGCTTCAGCTGTCATGGTAGTGTTATTGGCATGATAATCAGGTGTTTTGGTGTTTCAGGCACCTGTCTGAACATTTTTTATAACTTTCTTTTGGACGTCGATGGACATTCCTTCTGCCAGATCAGCCTCTCCTGGCAACATGCACAGTTGATCTGAGAACTACATCTGTCTTCCCAGGCTGTGAATCACAGTCACATCTGACTAGGGCACTACCCACGCCAGCCTCCTCTGTAGCACTGATCTGTCTTCTCACCTATTTCCACCTGATCTTTCTGGCAAAAAAAGAATCGTGCCTTAAAACAAAAAAATAGATGCCTTCAGACCAAAAATACCATGGAAAAGCTGCCTCCACAAATGTAGTAGGGCAAACATTGCTTTGGTTGGATATTAACATCTCTCAGTTGGTTTGTGGTCAGCAGGCTGTCTGGGCCCTCTGATATGATCACATTACTTTCAAGGTGACTCCCTACCTGCAAATCTGCTGTCACAGAGAAGACATTTTTGCCAGGCACATTACTAGGAACTGAGCTGTTCTTCACAACTCATGGTGCATGTACCATGTGTTTTTGGGAACCTAACCAACAAGGAGAGCTGAGCCATCTTAGGCCTATCCACTCTTATGGAGCCTCTCAAATGCTACTGGAAATATTTCTTCGAGTATAACAGCTAGTATGAGCAGATTTTTTAAATTCTGAATGTCTGCTGACATTTTGAGCATGAAGAGCCAAATGCAGTTTGTGTTGCTGCTCTATCTACTAATCTGGCACTGGTAAATGTTAAATGTAAATCAATTGTGAAGGTGAATAAAACCAAAAACCTTCATGTATAAGCTATAGCAGACTGTTTCTTTCAGTTGTTTTTCCTGATACTGTTTCCCTTCCTGGATGCCACTCACGTCCACATTTACCTTATCTTGAATAGGAATTGGAGCCCACAGCCCACAGCCTAAACTGTGCTCTGTGGTGATCAAAAACATTTTACAGCAATGCGATAAAACTACTGTTATATTAACTACACCCTTATGGAGCTCTGTGCAGTGACTAGCATTGAGTTTACCTGTCCCAGAGGGAGTGGCTCAGTGTTTCCTTTGGATGAAAAGCTCATGTAAGTTGCCTCCAGTTCTAGAGCCAGAAGTTGGGATATTGAATTGTACTGGATTTCTTCTTGAGGAGGGAACCACTTTTATAGCAGTTCTTGGGAGCACTCACTTAGTAAAAAATATTAGTGCAAGGGTCTTATCCATTACTGAATTCTGGAAATAACATGACCCTTGGGTTTCCCTGGTCTAGAAGGAAGAGTGTGGTTTTGGGGCACTAGAAGCAATGTTGGGTTTGGTACTCATAACACTATTTGCAGTAAAATGATGCTGAAGTTGCAAAGCTCCTGACAGAAGGAGAAGGGATTTGAGGCAGTAGATCTGAGATTCAGACTTTCTGGAGAGAGAGTCAATAGAGTTATGGATCTTCTCTGAGGCACTTTAGGGAGGCAAGACATCACTGAACAGTGTTGCAGGTGTTGGTACATATCATCAAGCATATGCAGCACGTTTCTTGTTCTGGATTTCCAGCTTCCCTACCCATGAATAATAT